TCCATACAGTTGTTACGGATTTGTGTTTAAGAGAGTCTTGTTTCACTTCCAAACCCTCAAAAGGGCATAACCGAGATATGCCTACCTATGCAACAAAGAATTTAGGCTGATTTGTTCAAAGCATTGCATTAAGTGCAACCAGTGTTTTGAAGCAAATGCAGCTATCAAACCGAATTAATAGTTTTCCTCTTAGAATTGTTCCTGCTCCAGCTCCTAAAAAAAGATTTTAAAAAAGGATTATTTGATTGACTTGTCCCATTGTAAAGTATGCACCTGCTGTGAAATGAAGCCACGGAGAAAAAAAAAAAAAAGTTGAATAATTTAACTTTTTTATTTGTAAAGATAATCAGGGTTTTTCTGATTACATCTTAACTTCATAAATGTTAAATAACCTATCAGCATCTAGTTGTTGTAAATTATGAAAAGGAGCATTGTGAGGAATATTAACCAACGAAATCCTTGTTCTTTAGTGAACAAGAAAATGTGTTATGGCAGCTTGTCATTGTGGGACTGGTAACTTTGACACCAAATAACAAAACTGCCATTTGCACTTAGGGTAAATTGGTTCACTTGAGCTTCCACTGCTCCTCTTGCTCTGACATAAATTTATGAACTCGGGAACTAACCAAGTCGTATGGCTTCCCAGCTGACTTTAACAAATATGCCCATTTCATTTCATTTAGTCATCAGAATACCAGGGGGCTAGGTTGTTTCAGACTCTCTGCAGATGGTGTAGGGTTTGCAGGAACACAGGAGCCTTTCATGTCACAGTCATGTAAATTATGACAGTGGAGGGGCCCTCTTTCCTAAATACATGTCACTGTTTGACATGCTCACAGCTTCAAGGAGCATTTTCTCTTTCAGCACCTCATAGGTATATGTAAAGGACATTTATTTCCAATTAACCAAGATGTGAAAAAATACATTTTCTGGGTTCGTGCCTTGACTAGCCATGTTGAAACCTAGATCAAGATAATGTCTGTATTTGAAATGTAGCAGAAAGACAGTTTTGTTCCCTGACCCCTTAGGAGTCCTGTCCTTCTAAGCAGAGAAGTTATTGAAAGCAGACCAGTAGGTACAGAGGAAGACATTCAGTAAAGCGCAACCTCAGATTAATTGACAGAAAGACTGTTTCTAAATTACTGCTAGGAATGGAAAAATATCTTCGTAGGAATACACTTGATCATATCCAAGTATTCATTAAAAAACCTAGATAAAATATTGTTATAAAGAGATCTACTTAGATGAATATAACATTTATTTGTAATTAGAATAGAAACTTTACTTTTTAGAAAAGGTGGGTTTGGAGCATTTGAGAGCCCATAAAATAGTGTCGGAGATGTGCGTTTTTTTTCCCATTTTGGTGCATTTCATTTTGTTTTGCTGAGATGTCTGTCATTAACTCAGCACTTTCTATTCACAGGAATGTACTAAAATGTTTTACATGCATTTTCTAATTTAATCCTTATAGCTCTTTATGAGGTGGCTATTATTATCATCCTTTTACAGATGAAGAGACCAGTGTTCATAGAGGTTAAGTAATTTACCAGAAACAAATAAGGGCAGAGAAGTGACTTGATCTGTCTGACTCCATTCTGTGGTTTGTCTAGTTCAACAAGAATGATAGAATATTTTTCAAATGAGTGTTTGTCAAACTTTTTTCTATAAGATCTATCCCAGGAACAGAGAAGACAGAATGAACGTGCGATCAATCCTAGGAGTTCCAGAAACCACCGAAAGCAATCACCATAAGTTTGCAATTTCTTTAAGGTCTTGCTTTTTAGGTTAAAAACTCATACAAATTTGCCATTGTATTCCAATGTGTTTATCTTCATCCAAAAAATAATGTATTTTATAATTTATCATTAGGGATTTTTTTTTTTTTTTTTTACCTATCTCCTTGGATAAAGAGTGCTATGCTGTTATATTTTAGGATATTAGATCACTCTAGAGAAAGCTGACCCCAATAAGTTCAATGTCCAGGCAATTCTTTCTGTGTTCATTGTGTTATAAATATGCAGGTACAAACAGCAGCCTTGTTCCCCCCACCGTTTTACAGACTATGTCAGGGTAACAATAAGGAGAAATGGCCAAAATGGGAAGTGCATACTGTGACATTCCAAGATACTGTGAATGGAAATTTCCATTAGCCTTTCTTCCTGCTGAGAGGTCAAACTACAAACTGAGAGGGTCCCTGATCAAGTCTTCAATCTCTTTTACTACCTGGAACAACAATTTCCAAAGAACATTCTTAGTGGGGAAAAAAAGCCTGATTATACAGCTCTTTATTTTACTTCTAATGTAGTACATGGGTTTTCCTCACCCATTAATGGACTAAGAGCTTCAAATGGTCCCTATAATCAATTCTCTGCATCCAACTCTCAAACTTCATTTTAATTAGAGCAGTCTTTTTGGGAGCAGTAAAACCATTTCCAGTTTCGTCTTATAGTTGGGAATTAGGACTCAAAGAGTATCTTCTAAATAAGCCCAGTATGTGTATTCACGATGCCATTAAAGAGAAAAATAAATTTATTTACATTTTCTAGCCATTAATCTTTGTCATGGTATCTTTTTTCTTCATAGAAAAAAAAATAACATAGAAATGTCTACTACCTGAGATTCAGCAGAAATGTGGGCCCAGTCAAAGTTTCATCCTGTGTCTGCAGAAGATTACCCATGATGAATTAATTTTAAAGCAATACTGAGCAATTCATATTAGATGGTGTTTTGATTGCATCACAAATAGGACTTGTACTTGTTCAACACACTGATTATGTCAGCATAAACTTCTGCTGTCATTTAGTTAGTTCTGAGGTGACTATGGAGTTACAATAACCCACCAGTCAAAGTTCTGATCACTAGGTACCAATCTAATTTTCTAGTCTGGGACTTTTTAGGAAGAAAACTCCATACCAAATTTTTGTGAACAAGGAAAAGTGGGATTCTGCTGGTTTCCCTTGCTCAGGCAAGGAAGCCTTGCATTTCCCAAATTTTAAAGGTCAAAGTGGCATTCCAGGAAGAGGTGCCATGTTTGTCCTTGTCTTTGAAAATACTTTGACAGAAATCCACAAGTGTGTAGGGTATGTGTATCTCAGTTTCAGAAATCTACCCTTCAGAGCTTCAAATATTTACCTATAATTTAGTTTCATCAGTGAGAATTCTAATTTTTCCATTTCTTCCCTCTAATCAGTGTTCAATAACTGTTCTGCCTGGCTACCCATGTTGTCTCAAAATTATCCTCTCATTTTTCCCCAGTTGTCCTAATCCAAGTTTCCATTACCAAGAGAGAACATAAATAGAGAGTGATAAGCTTTGTTATCAGATGGGTCTGAGTTCAAGTGTGACTGCCCCAAGTAATCAGCTGGCAATCTGGAACAAGGTGCTTAGTTTTCTTGTCTTGAAAAAAATGCAGTAACATTTGCTTTACAATATTGTCCTGAGATTTCAGTCATTCACTCAAACTGACGTTTATTGAGCTGCCACTTTGTGCTAAACTCTAGGCACTGAAACTACGCTGGGGAGAAGAACAGAGCCCCTGACTTTATGGAGTACCCTGTCCTGCATGCAACCGGAACGCAATGAGATGGCTGTTCTCGTTTGGGTTATTGCTGCAACTGTGTAGAGGAAAGAAAGCAGGGTTGACTCCAAGAGTCTTACCCTAAGGCTTTACTCTAAGGCCTTCGGCATAGGAAAATGGAAAGGAAACGCAAGAAGAGCAGATTTGGGAGTGGAAAATACAGTGATTGCACTTTGGACCTGTTGAGATTGAGGTCTCTGTGAAGTCGGTTGCTGAAAATAGAAATTAGGAATGCAAGAGAGATAAAAAGCCAAAAATAGGAATTTAGGAATCAATGATAGAACAGCGGTAATTTAAGTCATTAGAACAAATACAACAGATAATTTAACAAGGACTCTTATTTAAACTAAAATTTCTTAGTCTGGGTTCAGCACAATTGCAGCTTTCCAAAGGAAACAATTGTTCAGTCCTTCTGACTATGATCTTATTTTCATCTATCCTACACAAAATCCCAAGCATCTCTGCTTTATACTGGCTCTTCCAACCCTTATACAATTAGGGCTCTATCTACAAAAAGCAAACCTTCATTTCATGTTTTAGGCCTCATTTCTGAAGGGTTATTGAGTCCTGTGCTATAGATTCCATTGCTTCTACAGCAAAGATAACCTTATTTAAGTGCGACAAAGGTAAGTAATTAAACCCTCAAATGTTATAAGCTATCAGATGAATGAGAAAAATCTCATGAGAAATTCCATTATATTCTTCATTCAAAGCTCATATACTCTCCTTGAAAAAAAAAATGTACATGTTGTTCATGACCAACTAAAACTTACAGGCGTTTAATTATATGAATAGATTGTGAAAAGGCTAAACTCACAAGACCTTCTTTCTTTAGGAAGCATTGTGAAAAATGACAGTTTTGAACCCAAATTTCATATGTATTTAGGTCCATAAGTCTCCCTGACAGAGTGGACTATCCTAACTCAATAATTAATGCACTGGGAATTCTCTAGGTAGACTATGATTTGGATACTTTATGGGCTATTATGTCAAGGATCTGTGTCAGACTGGATGCATACACAATGCCTACAGAAAAATTATTGTCACAAGCAAAACTGGTGGGGTTTTTTTTATGTACTTTAAGAGTAAGTAAGCTGAGGAAAAATATATGACACCATTTCTAATTGCCTTGTATTTTTTAAGAAGTGAAACATGCCTTTGCTTTTATTTGCCCATAGAGTGTACCTTTGAATAGAACTATTATATGTACTTCATTTGTTTTTGAAAAGAGGTGATCCATGTTTTATTTTTTACTTTTGGAATATACATTCATGCAGTTATTAAGTGCTATATTTGGCAATAATATACCTTTAAGTTATAAATCGTTAAAGATTCATCGTTTTTAAAAGACAAACATTTGTTGATCATTCTGTATAGCATACATATGTGTTTTCTCTCTCTCTCTTTCTCTCTCTCTTTGAAGGGATCCTCATCCCCAAAATGCCTGTGGAGTACAATGTCTTACTCAATGCTGGAAGTGTAGCACCTCTAACCTCCTCTGTTGGTCATCATCAGTGCATCCTTCTGGAAAATTTGGCTCCATTCACACAATATGAGATAAGGATACAAGCATGTCAAAATGGTGAAAGTCTTTCAGACACTTGTCCTGGGCTTTTATTAAAAACAAAAGTATTTCATGAAAGAATTCATTAAAAAGGAATAGATTCTCAATTCAAATACAAAGACTAACATTTCATTTCTTACTTGTACTGGACTGTTTACCCAGAAAAATCAGAGCCTGGCATTGAGTGAAGCATTATGCATTTCTGCACATTAAATCATGAATATTTAAATATATTAAAATGGTGGTTTTGCAAAGTCTTGTTTTATAAGGCCCTTTAAAAGAAAAACACCTAGATCACATAAAGGAATCATTGGTAATATAAAACAAAATAGGTATTATGAAAATTTCAAAAAAAAAAAAGGTACGCACTTTGGTTTATTTAAGTTTTATTTGGGATTGAGGGGAGGCATTACTTAGAAGTTGAGTTACATTGAATGAATCTTACATATTTTACTGTGCTTCCCTGGACTCTTTCTCATATATGCAGGCTGTTGCCCTCAGTCATGGCATAGGCTAGTTGTCTATGAAATCATCCATCTCTGTGGTTTTAAGGACGAACCTCTATCAGTCCCTTCATCTCTCCAAATGTCACACCGTATGTTAATAAAAGAAGAAAATATACAACTCATATTGGTGTATAAAACATGTTGCTCCACTTTAAATTAAAGAAATGCCCCAATCTTATACTCGAGTGGTGGGAACGCCTATCTTATTTGTGCTTAAGAATGTCTGTGTCCAAATGAACTTGAGTTCTCATGGAGCTGATTGGGACAAGGGGTCTGTGATTTTGCTTTGCCTCATCTCTGAAACTGTGAGTCAGTTTGCCCACTTCTCTCTAGAAACTAAACCAAGGTATTTTGTTTTGAAGGATACTACTCTCTCTGATCTGGTCTTCAGCTAATCAACATGGAAACAGTTTTAAACTAGTGTTTTCTTTATTTAAATAAAAAATCCACTTCTGCATCTGCAACAGTTTTAAACTAGTGTTTTCTTTATTTAAATAAAAAATCCACTTCTGTATCTCCATAGCATCTTATGCTATGGAGATACAATATTCTTTAAATTAATTGATTCCTGCATGTTGGGAGATGGCCATTATTTTACAATATTGGCAAAAATAAGATACTATTAAGAATATACATGATGTACCGGTCGCACACCCTAGTGATCTTCAAGTACATTATCACTTTCTGGCATAAGGACTGTAAGAAGCTAGAGAAGCCACAGTTCAGACAAGCATAAGCATTATTGTCTATGCCTCTGAAAATTTGTCATTACTTAATGGATTTTCCAAAAATGATTCCCTATTTAAATATACATAAAATATGTTTGTAAATAATAAAAAATATGTATACATATAAATACATTCAAATTAGAGATTTATAGTACTAGTCTAAAATATGTGTACAAGGGTCATATACAAAAGTTCAGCTAATATGATTTCCATAATCTCCTTATCCTTCTATATGCATATGTAACTCTTTTCCCCACCTGACAAATTACATAAGGACTCAAATTTTTTTTTTTTTTTCAAGGAAGTTGTGGAGTTAGCAGTAGGACATTTGTTAAAACATCTGAAGCAGCCCCAATGGATCTACCTTCCCCTGTTCTTAAGGCACTGGGATCGGCTTGCATCGAGGTTAAATGGATGCCACCTAAAAAGCCAAATGGAATCATCCTCAACTACTTTCTTCACAGGTAACACTGACTATTACTGTTATTTTAAATTATTTAAAAATGTGTATTATTTGAGGACTGTAAAATCAAATACATTTTCTTTTTCCATAAGGGAGTAAGTGGGAACTCGTGTTTTTTGGAGTACCTCCTAACGTCTAAGATTGGTATTGGAAGCTTTTACATATAATCCAGGGGGGGAAACCACAGCTACCATGTAGCATTTTTGTCTAAGCCCTACTTTAAGGACGAGACCTCATAGTGCACATCGGCCTTACTTCTGATTAAGTGGTAGAGCAGTCCTCTAGAGGCTCACTGACCAAGAGAACATAATCATTCCAGAGGAGGAACCAGGTCTGCAATCAGAATTCTAATCTTTCCCATCACCTACTATGTGGAGTTTGGAAAAACCTTTTTATCCTCAAAAAATAGGTGTTTTCCATCTGCAGAAAGAATGGCTCGATTCTGCAGTTCCCCTTCTGTTGGAAGGAGTTTCCACTCAGCCGGGTAGATGGGAATGCAGTAGATAGCAATGCAGCTGCTGTTCACCATGATATGCAGAATTTGTGAAGTATATATCCCCCTAAAATGAAGAAAAGAAGGAAAGAGAGAGTGAAGGGAAAGAAAAGAGAGGGAGTGAGAAGGGAGGGACAGAGAGACAGAGGAACAATGGACATTTGGGGTTGAAAGGTGTTGCGCTTCTGATCCAGGTTTCACCTGATCTGCACGCACATAGTTTCAGTGTTTTCTTTAAATAAATAATGAATAATGAGGAGGAGAAGCAGAGGGAGGGAGGGAGAAGAGAGAACAGGAAGGAGAAGGAGAGAGAGAGGGAAAAAGAATGACAGAGAAACCCTGAGGGAGAAGGAGGAAGAGAGGAGAGAAGGCAAAAGTCAAACAGGAAGAGAGTCAAGGAGGCAAAGAACCTGAGAGTTTGCTCTCTGTGCTAGTCCCTGCAGTTTGCTATAACAAAAATGGCATAAACTGGGTGGTTTAGAAGCAACACACGTTATTTTCCTGGAAGTTGGAAAAATACAAAATGAAGGTGCTGACAGATTCCATGATTGGTGAGGGTCCACTTCCTGGGTCACAGACTGCTGTCATGTCACTGTGTCCTCACTGTGGTGGAAGCAACTAGAGACCTCCGTGGGTCCCTTTAAAAGGGTACTAATCGCACCATGAAGGTTCCACACTCATGTCCCAGTCACCTTCCAAATGCCTCATCTCCCAATGCCATCACCTTGGGGTTTTGGACTTTGGCATATGAACTGGGGTTGGAGGAGACGCAGACTTCCTGACCGTAACTGTCTAAGACAAAAAAGACACAACGGAAGAAAGATACCAGCAGACATGAGGGATCTGCAGATTGAAAACTCGATTCCAAAAGCCACATATTTACGTTAGGCAAACAGAAAACAACTCATTTTTGCTCAGACCCTCACCCCTACCCCCTCATGGTTTGTCAGTCTCTCCAGCAGTCTCACACCTTCCCCTGTTTGGTCCTGTGCCCTGAAAATGGGAAACTTAGTTCAGGCTCCTCTTTCAACTTCAGATATTAAAACCGTTTGATTCAGGTCCATCTTCAGTGATGAGTAAGGGTTTGTAGGAAAATTATAGAAGGAGAAAGTATTATTGCATTTCTAGTTACGTAAATGACATGGCCAAAGAAGAGCAAGTCAAATGTCTCCTCAGCCAACATTAATTTGAAGAATAATATTTCTGATTCAAATACACACGAACACGTAAAAATGGCTAATGCGAATTTACATTTTAAGCTAAGCTCATGAGTGCAGGCTCTAAGATGCCCATCCTCTTGGAAGAGTTTTCTTTCATCTACTTAATGCTAATTGTATGAGAAAAGCACATCAAATTCCAATTCTGAATAAAGGGAAATAAAGTATCTGTTATGGAGCAGGACGTGGCTTCAGTCTGTTGGTTTTGTAAATAAAGCTCATGATTTCAGTGACTATTCCGTGGCAGCTATAGAGAGGGAAAACAGGAAATAGAATGCAGAAAGCCCGCTTCAATGAAAAATACTGTAAATTGAATTTGACAGCATTTGATGGCATTTGATTATTCTAGTCACAGCCAAACAATGATATAAAGAGTAATATGAAACAGAATGTGTTACTGCCTAGCAGACTCAAAAGCAATAAACCTTCCTCCAATGTGACACAATCACTTCACAATCATAATTGTAGCCTGTTTGATACCTCTGAGTACAGCAGAAGGGCACTGACTGACATAGATACATTTTGTTTTTTATTTAAAGTGAAATGAAAATGGCGCACTGGGGCTCCAGATACAATCGTTATATTCACCTACATAGGCATGAATCACTTGGCGGTTATTTCAGCTGAAGTTTAAATGTGCTTAGACAACAACAATATCAAATTTTTCTTCGATAGCTACAAAAAAAAAAAATCAGAAATTTGTAAGGACAGAAATAGAATGTAGACACATAGTTCTTTTTCATTCTGGGACTACATAGAGCCCCTTCTATAGTTATGGCCACGAGCCTGCAGTATTTCTGGGGAGGTTATGGCATGTCATCCCTGCTTCATCATTTGCCTCCTCTTTCTTGTATCGCCACCAAAGGAAACACACTTAGCTCAAACCAAAGACAGGGTTTGGCCCAGGAAGATATTTTCATTAAATTGCAGGAAGCCAATTTGCCAATCCCATTTTGAAAATACCTGTCACTCTACTCTCTCTAACCCCTTAAATCACTTCCCCTCAGTAATTTCCTTCCATTGTTTAAAGACTGCCTCTAGATATCATCCTACTGAAAAGCATCTGTGCTGATAAAGGGGTATTGATGACTTTGCAAACAAAATAATCTAGGATGGATATGATTATTAATGTGATTGCTTCTGTTCTGTTTATCTGTCACTTTGTTATTTGATTTAGGCTACTTTGTTCACTAAGGAAAGGAGTTATAAAAGACACTTCTGACAATAGGGACAACATTGACGTTAGTGTTGTTCAACCTGTTTACTGACAGAGTATATAGACAAGGCCATCTTCAGCATTTGTTTTCTCCTCATAGTCCACTTGGATATTATAATAACGATTTTTCGGTATTACCCTCTGTCTTATATCTATAATGTTGTAAAAGCAAAATCCCTCCACAAAGTCTGACTTCCGTTTACAAAATTCATCAAATATTTCTTTTTCTTGGGACTTCCCAAAACACTTAATGAAATGATCTCCCACCATTTTAATAGAGACAAAGCCGCAGGAGGTTTATTCTCATACACGGTCTCCTTGAACAAATACAGAGATTGATCGATGTGCAATAAGAAAAAATATATATACAGATACCTTCTACTGTAAAGTAGAAATGAATAATGAACTCTTTCTTGAGTGTTTAAATAGTAAGGTTTTGAAGGATAAGATAAGAGATAGTTAGGATGGGTGGTTGATATGGAAGACTTGTCCAAGCAGGAAACTGCAAATAAGAATTTTCTAGAATGGAAATTAAGCTGATTGACTAAAATAAGAGGGCATTGACTCAAAAGTGAAGAAACTTTTATACAATCGATTCATGTTGTGTGGAAAGATAGATATGGAGACGAAGATAGGTAGGTAGATGATGGACAGGTGATAGATATATGGATAAATAGAAATATTCATATCTGCTGTGAGATCCGAGTCCTATTACCCAGGACCTTTACTATAGTAGGAGATGTAAGTCAAACTAAGCAAACAAACAAAAAAAGAGAGAAATATATGAATACTTACCAGAAAATATAAATATTTACCAGAAAAATATAAATATTTATCAGAAAGTTTACAGGAGAAAAGGATTCTTTTTGTCTGGAATATTGATGGAAGACTTCATTCACTCATGGATGAAATTGATGTCATTAGGATTGGCCTTATGATATAAAAATTTAGTGACCATTATTAGAAATATTTTTGTTGGAAAAAAGTTTTAACAGGACAGAATATTAAAAAGGCTATTCATCCTTTCTATACGACTTACCCGAGGCACATAAAATTTCCATCAATGAAAGTAACTACTATTAATTTTAATACACATAATATTTCTGCTTTCTTTTTATAGTTTCCCTTTCATAAAAAGAATCATATTGCATGCTGTTCTCCAATTTTCCTTGGGCATGGATGCACACACACACACACGTGCACACACACACGTGCACACACACCTCACTTCTTTTAATGACTCAACTATATTTTATTATATGAATGTGAGTCTGTATTATTTAACCAGTCCGCTACTGATGGCAAAATAGGTGATTGCCAAGTTTTCATTACAACAGCAACTCTCAAAAAAAACACCTTCACAAAGAGCAAATGAAGGATTATTCTTAGTCCTAAAAGGGCAGGGTCAAATTTTGTACATTTTAAATTCCTAGAGTTTGCTCAATAGTCTTCTAAAAAAGGTTGTAAGAATTTTAATTCTGAAAACTCCTGTCAATAGGGGGTCTTATCAGTTTTTCAAATCTTTGCCAGTTCAATATTTTAAATGGCATATTATTGTTTTAATTAAAATTTGGTCATTATAAGTGAAGTCATTCATTTATTTTAAATATTTCCTTGCTATTTATGTGTGTATATAAATACTGCATATCCTTAGACTATTTTCTTTTAGACTATTTCTCATTCATCTTTATATAGTAATTCTTATATTCTTTATATAGTAATGAAATTCTCCCTTTGATGATATTAAAATAACACATCAATTATTCCAGCAATTTTATGGGTTCTCCTCCTTATATCTAAATATAAGACTTGATTTTGTTTTAGAGAATGAGAAAAGAAATCTATGCATTTATTTTTTTTTAAAAACTATCTAGTTTTTCAACATTATTTTATAATTCACTGACTTGAAATGCCATCTATACGAAATCGTCATGTATCATCCGGTCCCTTTCAGGATTTTGTTTTCTATTTCATTTATAGTGGACAGGATTTTAATAACCAGAGCCTGATGACAAAGATATCTCAGGTGAATAAAATTAATAGAATGAACCAAATTCCCAACGCTAAAGTCATAG